CGGAACGCAGAGGCCAGTCCCTGCTGTCCAGCAGCTCCCTCATGGATGAGGAATGTGGGGGGACAGGAGAGGGGGTGAGAAAGAGGACATGGGACATGTCCTGGTCATCCCCACACTGCCATAAGGGTCCTCAGCTTCGCTCTGCCAAAGAATTAAACAGAAATTGCAGAGCCCATTTGACTCCACCACCAGTGCATATCGAGGAGGCACACGGCATGTCTCCAGAGACGCAAGGGATGGGGACCGCCATCACCACAGGGACCTGCGTGCTCGAGCCCCAAGCACCCACCTGGACGCCGCAATCTCCGACTTCTGCCGAGCGATGGCTGCAGCCCTCTGAGCCCCCTCCACGCTCCTGTCCACCTTCTGCCGGATCTTGGCGCTCTTGAGGGGTATCACACGCTTCTTCATGCCCTTGACGAGGACGTTGTGGCGGTACTTGCCCTCCTCCTTCTAGTCCGCGATATTGCCTTGCCGCGGGGTTTCCAGCCACTCACCCTCGTACTTCAGCCCACTGGAGCGCTCGCTGACGCCAAAGCCGGCACGCTTGTCGTTCTTCCACTCGCCCATGTAGGTCTCCGTGGTGGTGGCATCGATGTCGGACTCAAAGGGGGAGTACTCCTCACCCTCAGCACCCTCGCCCAGGCTGACGGTGGAGGTGGCATCGCTGATCCAACTCTCGCTCTTGAGGAAGCTGACACGGCTCTTCTGGCTGGCCAGGGATGACTTGGACTCGGACTTCTTCAGCTTCCCCAGCAAAGAGCCCCTGCGGAAGAGCCCCCCCTTCTTGGGCTTGCCAGCATCCACCTCTGCATAGAGGCTGAGGGCGAAGCCGCCGCGGGTGATGGTGGGATGGTGGGTGAGAGGGTCAGGCTCTCGGCGTTGGTGGCGGGCGAGTCCTGCTGCGGCAGGGTGCCATTGCTGTGCTCGCTCCGCAGCGAGGACAGGGATGTGCGCAGCGGGGAGCGCACCACCGAGGCCATGCCGTAGGGCACGCTCTGCCGCACGCCGTAGCCGTGCCGCATGCCGTTGGTGAACTGGCCCTGGTACGTGCCTGCAGGAGAGAAGAGGGATGGGGTGAAAAGGCAGCTTTGCTCCTGGGTGAGCCGGCAAAGGAAGGTGGGTTGTGCTAGGGTGGATGTACCCACCTTCCCTCGAAGAGAGGAGCTCCAGCTCCATAGGGCTCACCTGCATGCAAAAGCAGCAGTCCCCAGGGAGCAGAGGGCAGAGGACACAAGAGCTCATTGGAAAGGGGCTGGGGCACCAGGGGACACTGATGCAAACCCAAAGCCACTAAACGGACAGGGTCTGTATTTGCATCCGGAGCAGGGAGCAGGCGGCAGCCCCCTGGGG